GATCTCTTTCTTTTTCTCTTCCTCCTTTCGCTTTTATCCCTTCCATTTCCTCATTCTTCCTAGATCTGGGCTAGATTTGGATTTGTACAAACCCAGATTTATGGGTTTTGAAACCAAGAATTCTGGGTTCTTAGAAATCTATTCTTGAAATCCCTCCCTTCTACCTTCTCCCCCTTCTACCTTCTCCGATCATCTATCCCCTTCTTGCTTCCCCTCTCCTCTTCTCTGCATGCTCTTTCATCAAACCCAGCATATTTGGGTTCGCGTGAAACCTAGCTAGATGAATTAGATTCGAACATACTCAGATTTGAGTTCGCGTGTGTCTAAATGAATTGGGTTCAGACAAACCCAAATCTGGGTTGGAATTAGGTTTGTGGGAACCCAGATTTCTGGGTTTTCAAACCCAGATTTTTGAGTTTACAAAATCCAAACGTGTGGGTTCATTTGAACCCAGATTTTGGGTTTTACAAAGGGTGCTTTCATTGCTTTTGCATTGTTGAAGAAGAACTTTACAGCAATGAATTCATGGTTTTGTTTGGATTTTGAAATGAGATATCTGGATTTTGTTTGTTTGAATTCTCTAACTTTCCCTTGGAATCATTACACAAGTTTTCTGCCAAAGAAGTATTCAAAGGAGAACACCGGATTTTTTTTTTTTTTTTGCCAAACACTTGTGTTAAAATTGATAACGAGTTTGTTGCAAATAGGTTTAGAATAATGTCTATCAAAAATGGTCGAATACCTGCAAAATTGTTATGCATTGAAGATCGAAGTTTGGGTTTCGCTTTTGGAGTGCAGATGAGAGACAATATTAGGGTTTACAAAATAGCCACAATATTTTTCCCTTGAATTTTAGGGTTTACAGGTGTTTGGTGTGTTTGGTTAGTGGGAAAATGACATGGCATAATTTTTAATTTATGTCAACGTTTTTTCTGTGCTATTGGGTTAATTTTTTTTTTATATTTTTATATAATTTTTACATTTCATTAAATAAATAAATAAATTTAATATTATGTGTTTTATATTAATTAAAAAAATTAATTATGTTAATGATATATCATATTATATAAAAAGGTGATATAAAAAAATACAAAAAATATTTTCCTATGTTTTTTAAATTGTGTTGCCTATGTTATTAAAAAAAATGTAAAGAAACACCACACGATTGAGTTAATCGTTATAATTAATGGAGGGATCAAAACTATATTATCTATAAAAATAATTAAAAAATAAAAAAATATATAATTTTATAAAATTGAAGGATTAAAATTAGCATTTAATTTTTATACTTAAATTTTTTTTTTTTAAAAGGCAATGGAACCTTTATACTTAAATTAGTCATCCATTTCACTATTAATTTGTAGGTTAGGTTTCCCTGAGAGTGCCGAGTTCTAACTGTAGTTACAAGTTTTTAGGGTTTTTTAATATCTTAAAAGGCAAAACGGAAAAACAGGACGTCCTGATCCTGAAAATCCGAGAACCCATCTTAGAATATATAACAAATTTAATTTATTCAAACCTAATTTGTTTCTCTTATTAATTGTATGATCCTTCCCTAATGTATATCAAAACATACATTTTCT